ACCTTGCCAGTTGATTTTCTGGTCTGTCTAGGGCAAAGTAAAAAGTTACCATTTTTAGGCCATCAGTCAAACGACTTTTGATCAGCTTTCGTTTACATGCGAACACAACCACATAGCTGAGTCTCGGATCCTCAGACTACATGATTGTCATTAAAAACACGGCTCGAACAACCTATTTTTATATGTTTTTGTGTGACAGTTTTATATTAAATCCATTGGAGATGGATTGACCCTTTCCTTTTTTATCTACTCATGCTCTGAAATATCAAATAATATCGGTGTTTAATTAAGATCTAGGACATTACAGCAACTGTTATAGCTAGTTTACCCAGTCCCTTCACATATAACAGTCTCTGGGGGACCAAGCCTCCACTCCCGTGATTTTCTTGAGATAACACTCATATCTCCTATATTTCGTGTCCCGGGAGGGTTCCGTGGTATTTCTCTTCCCCCCACTGAAGCCTCCGTCTCCACAAATATCTGTCACAAAGGTCCTTACCGTGTGTTGTTGCCACGATAAGAGGCTCCGTAATTTTCCTGTCTCGGATACAACTGTTCTTCACAATTTCTCTCGTTGTTCTGATTTTCGTCTTTTCTATTCAAAATGGCCGTCTTTTCTCTATTTCTCAGAAATGTTCTCCTTCAAATCGAAATTTTAAAAATAAAAATTCCAGAACATTCTGACCCTCCGTCGCAACACTTTTTTGCTCATAAGGCCTTTAGTCACTTTTTTTTCTGTCGCGGGAAGGTTGTGCTGTGTCATCCGGCAGAATGGCACACCACAGTAGGAGTTCAGTTTCATTTTTAAGCTCGCTGATTTTGAAATATTTCTTTTAATTAAAAATAAGCAGCCTTTTGCTTTTTGGGCTCTTATTTTTGCGTGTGCTGACCAGTTTAGGTTGTTGGCTATTTGTATACCAAGGTCTTTTTCTGAACAGGTTTTTTCAAGTATATGGTCACCGAGATACATGTTTAGGTCAAGTTGGGGGTCTTTGAATATTATATTGTGACATTTTTTCAAATTAAGACACATGGAATTATCTTTGCACCATAAGTTGATCGTGATTAGGTCATGTTGGAGCAGGGAAGGGTTCGTTGCAACAATTTTATAATCGTCTGCGTAACCATAGCACGAGTTGGTGAGTGATGACGGTAAATCGTTGATGAATGTAATGAAGAATACTGGCCCTGACAGTGAGCCTTGAGGTACGCCGCTACTAACTTCAAGATGGCTGGATACTGCCGCACCTATTGGTACTTGCTGTTTTCTGTTGGTTAAGTATTTTGCTAATAGTTTAAGTGCGTTTCCTGATATGCCAAATTTATTGAGTTTATATATGCACAAGTCGTGAGGAACTTTGTCGAAAGCCTTTTCGAAGTCTAAGTATATTGCCTGTAGAGACTTGATATTAGGGTTATCAAAGTCATCATAGATTTTGTCGAGGAATTGGAGCATTTGCAGAGTTGTCGATCGTTTAGGACAGAAGCCAAATTGGCTGTCATGGATTTGCGAGAAGATCTTTGGTGAGATTTTAAGGAAGATCAGTTTCTCTAAGACTTTGGATACTGCAGTTAGCAGGCTTATGGGCCTGTAGTTTGTGACCGATTGCTTGTTTCCATTTTTAAAAGTTGCGATGATTTGGCTAAGTTTCCAGATCGTTGGAAATGTTCCTTTGTTGGTGATGGTGTTATAAATCAGTTTTAGAGATGAAGTTATGCTATCTGCTAAATTGGTTAGGACTGTGTTACCGAGTCTATCTGGTCCTCTTGCTTTTTGGAGGTTTAATGTTTTAAGGATGTCGTATATCTCATTTTCAGAGAAATTGAAGCATTTGATTGAGCCGGGTAATTCAGCTATTGGTTAAATGTTTTCATTCTGTTTAATGTTAAAAACGCTTACGAAGTAATTGTTTAGAAGATTAGCTTTACCGTGCTCTGTTGATTCGGTTTTTTCATTCCAGTACATTGTTTTTGGAGTACTTGAGTTTTTTGTATGCTTTTAAAGTATTTTTGGAGCTTTGAGAAATTTCTGCCCTTGAAAGTTGATTCTTCGAAATTTTTCTGATCTAATTCGGATAAATGATCTACAAGGTTTTTAAGTCTTTCAAGATTGCGGTTATTAGTATGAGTATTTTTAAAGGCTACTTTTTTTGATGCTGTGTTGAGTCTTTTGATAATATTGGAGGTTTCAGGTGTGATCCAAGGTGCTAGGTTCATACGGTGTTTGGTCTGTTTTTTCATGTGTTTTTCTAGTGCTATATATAGCCAGAGGTACCATGAGTTGATTAAGTGGTCAATGTTAGAGTAGCAGTACGGTTGAAATGGGTGTTCCAAAATGTATTTGTTCAAAGTAATCCAATCGACGTTGTTTAATGAGAAGACACCAAAGTCCAGAAAGTCGGTTCCGTGTTGTATGGGAGTGGCTTTTTCGTCATTGTGTGTAAGAGATGATATCGTGATTAGAAAAGGGTTGTGGTCTGATAATTCTCTTTCTTGGTGTGAGAAGTGTTTTTTCATATGGCTGTCTATCGTGGTGTTTAAAATAATGTCGGGGTTGTTGCAAAGGACAATATCTAATTGGTCATGAGGGGGTTCGATAAACTGTTGAAAGTTCATATCAGTAAAAGTCTGCAGTACTAATTGTTCGTGTTTTTGGGTTGATTGCAAGGTTTGCCAATGCGTATTAGCGAAGTTGATGTCACCAACCAATAAAATATTTGGGCATTGAAATTCATTTGGGTAGTCAGTTAGCATATTCAATAGTTTGTTGAAGTCATCTGTGGATAGCTTATATTTGCTTTCGTTCGGGGCACTGTAGATACAGCATAGGATGAGAGGTGTCGGAGTGTTAAGGAGGAGTCCAACGCAGTCCGTAGTGTGTATTTCAAGTTTTGTGAAAGCTAGGGATTGCTTAACAGCAATAAGCACGCCCCCGTGTTTCGATTTTGTTGAGTTGGTAGGTCTATCACATCTAGTTATTATGTGTGCAGGCAGAAAAAGCGCGTTGTCAGGGATATTTTCAGTTAACCAAGTTTCGCTTAAGCAAATGATGTCATAATCGTTCGACAGTATTATATTGCTAAGTTTCATACGTCTATTTATATCCAGTATACTTCGTGTATTGAATGACATAACATTCAGCGATTCTAGTCAGTTGTCATTTCTAGTCTGAATTGTGCTGTTTTCCTCCGGTTTAATTGGAACTTTTGTCCAGGTGTCGTCTACTTTTTTATGCAGTTCTAGGTTTCTGATTCGAAGATTTTTGGGGTTTTTAACACTGCTGATGAGATTTCTACGTTCTCTCAGGATGGCGTTTTCCAGTTTCATTTCTTCGACTGAGAGTTCCTTACTTATGAAGACATTTTTGTCATAATTTTTGAGGGCCGGTGTTGATGATAGTATCAATTCTATTTCTCTTGGACAGGTTACTCGTACCAGTATAGTTCTGTGGTTTGCTCGTTCTTCGCTGAACTTTCCAACACGCTTGAGATCAGTGATATTGCATTCGAGGTTTAAGAATTTCATGATTTTATTTACCTCATCATAGTCATGGTCAAGTCTTTTTCTTCCATCTCTTTCCTTGATCTCGGGGACCCCTCTTATTCTCAATCCTTTGCTCAGGGGTTTGATTATGTTTTGCGCCGCTACTTGTGACCAGGTTTTACCCTGTTCTGCTATTGGCAGGCTTTGGATGGGATCTTTAATATTTTCCATTTTTGTCGAGACTTCGGCTACTACTTTAATTAGTTTTGAAATTTCTTCTTCAATTTTTTTGATGTTTTCACTTTTGTCATGTGATGCTGTGCTTCTGATTACTTGATCTCTTTTTCCGTTGGACAAACAGGTATTGCATATCAGTAGTGCGTTGTTACCAAGTTCCAGTATTCCATTGAGTGCAACGGTCGAGAGGCCAGTGCAGACAACTTCAAGGTGCATAGAGCAATTACAGGTGATGCAATTGTATATTGGGTCATTTTCGTTTATGTGTTTCTTGCATGTTTTGCAAGGTTTTTTGTCCTTTGACATTCTCAGTTTTATTTATGTTTACGTCCTCTTATCTCTGTGGAAACTGTGTTTGGGGGATGAAGGTTTAGGTAGTGTACTCGAGTCCTCAGGGTGGTACCTAAAGGGCGCCGATTGAGGACTGAGGTATCAGTGTTAGGGTTATGAAAACAGTTGTTTGGGACCTTAAGGGTACTTGATGACTAGCGGGAGAAAACGGTTTTATTTATAGATGTGAATTCACAAAGACATCAAATCTGGCGATACCTAAAGGTCATCAATAGAAAATTCAGTCTCTGTGAAAATGATGACGCCGACAAGTGTTGTTGCCGCAGTGGTATATATTCGAGTAGCCCTCGCTATCAGTTTTTACACAGAACTTCTTGTAGATGATCTTCTTTTTCAAAATCGTTTGGAGACTCGCAAGCGATGCTGTTGTTAAATGCACTTCGTCGGAAGATAGAACAGTTTTGGTGGTTATTCTTTTCGATATACCGCGATATCGCCAGAGTTCTTTCTTTTTGCGAAGAATATCGTTTACACGTTCCGTTCGGGCTGGTCTTCCGAGTCTGGGTGGTAGAGCGATAATGAAAACTTTATTGCAACGTTCTGTCAGCCGTAGGCCAAGTTGGGATAATTCTTCAGCAACGTCTTCGGGTGTTCTCGTTGAGTCTTTTTTGTCTTTCGTAAACAGATTGTTCGCACCAATGAATAGAGCTATAATATCGTATTCGTTCTTGCGGGGCAAGAAGTTTAGAACATCCGCGATACCTGCACCAGGAAGGCTGAGGATATTGAAATTAGGGAAAGATTTTTCAATTGTGAGTCTCCGATCAACAAGTGTTGCGACGACGATTTCTTGAATATGTGAAATCTCATTGGTTTTCACCCATCCACGGCTAGGAACGGATGGGACTTTTTTCGTTTCGAATAAGGTTTTCTTGTTCCTAGCTACAACTTTTCAGAAAACACACAGTTTGAACGAGGGAAGAGGAAATCTATTTAATAAGTTTATCACAACAATCTTAGCCGTCCTTCGTCTACAATAGCGCTTATGGAGTTGTCGATAAATTGAGCTTTGCTTAGCGATCTGCACCCCCTTTTACAAAGTATAGAGCTCCTCAGGAGCGCGAAGCTTATTTTAGTTCTTATGTAGTTTATAGATTCTGGATAGCTTTCTTGTCTTTTTTCACTTATTTTTCGGTCAATCGCTGCATCGTTCGCGTGGCTGTTGGAGCAGCGCCACAGGTGCATCTAAAAATAAGCGAGCAGAAGCTACTCTGCTCTACGTTTAAAATTCTGATATTTTGAGTTCTTCAGCGTTTCGTGGTGTTTGTTTGCATCCTTATGCAGTTTTCGCGATGTTTTGGCATGGGGGTTGAAAATTTTCACATCAAAGAAAGCGCGGCTGAATCGTGAACCCCAAAGACCGTTTGCCTTAATGTCAAGTCATGCCTCATCTTCATTTGTAGTTGAATTGTTGACAAAGCTTTCGCCTTGCAACGGCTGAAGTTTCGGCTCAATCTCGACGTCATGGCAAACCTCGTTCATGAGGTTGGCGAATGTGTCTATTATTTCATTGTGTCTTATGTGTGTGTAACCACCCTTTGCACAGTGAAGCGCATGTGTCAAGTTAAAATCAGCACCACATGCACATGTGAGCGGGGGGTTTGGTTGGTTCCCATCCGTATCTTAAGTAAATACCATCTCTGAACTCTGATTTATTCAGGTTGAAGTTGTATCTGCTCAGTGGTAGAGCATTGAGCCAGTTAGAATCTCCCTTTTCAGAGGCCAGGACGATTGCGTATTTATCTGTTTCATTTACGGAGTTAAAAAGGTTTGTTTTTTTTTTCAATTTGTTCTATCAGTTTTCAATTTTTTGATATCCATACATATTTTTCTTGCTGTGTTACTGCTGTAATAGGATCTTGAGATTCCAGTAACAGTGATGTCTCCTGAGACCATTCTAGGTAGCTTTCATGATCGGATGGCAGCTAGATGTTAAGTCCGCCCATTTTAAGGGGTAAGGAAGGATTCTCAGGGAACTGGGGGTTTAAAGTGTCTTTACCGATAGGTTAGTTAATAATTGTTCTTTGCTAATATTTTCACATATATTTCTAAGTTTTCCATAATGTTAGGCGTTGTCCTGGCAAGAAATGAAAGCTTTTCTTGAACTCCTTTAGTATAGCAGGCATAAACGTTTTGAGGGGAGGTTTTAGCAATTTTCTTTAGTTTTTTCAAAATTTTGATTTGCTCATTGTTTTGAAATTCGAGGAACTTTTTACATTCAGATTCTGTTTCTATAACTGAACCACTCGGGCTCCTGCCTTTATACTGATTCCTGTATTTGCGAAGATTTTCTGAGCTTCACCGAGTTTTTCTTTTTTGACAATGAGTTGGCATTTGGATGCTTTCACGTGGTAGCCGAAAAATTTACCCAGTGATACAATTTTATCGAGGACGGCTCGCAGATTACTTATTTTACCGACTGCGTTTCCGTCGTCTGCGTACCATTTCTGGGTTACATCGTCTACTGATAAAAGTTTCATGAGGGGTATTATGGCTAGACCGTACATGGCCATTGCTAGTGGATCCCCCTGGGTTGTCCCTTCTTGAGAGTAGATTGTTTTTTTTGTTAACGAATAGTTTAGATGGATTGGATTAGGAGTTCTTAATCGCTGTTAAAAGGGAAGGGCAGGTATTTTCGATGTTTTTTAATGCCAGCTTTCGGTTCAGCGAGTTGAAAGCGTTTTCGGCATCTATCAGTAAAACAGCATCGGCGGAAGTTTTGCTGTATTGATCTCTTAGGGTGTGGATCGCATATTCAATGCCACATTTTTTTCGGTAGAGTTGGTAGTTTGAACCGAGCGACATGAGTTCGTTTTTTAGGCAATTAGTTATTGTTCGCCCTATTATCCTACGCATAACTTCTCCAAGCCTATGATCCATGCATTCGCATCGAGGCCAGATGGTCCATGCGATCCGTGCGTTCTCATGGCTGCCTTCTTGATATGTTGACCGATTATCTGATCAAATATCGATGTATGGAAAGGAATTGTTTCACTTGAGACTGGTGTAATATAGTTCGCATTAGTTGGTTTAGATGGTGGGTGTTTCTCTATGAGAGTCTGTTCTACTGTCTTATCTTTGACAATCTCGTCGAGCGAAAAAACGCTTTTAGATGTGTCTGTTAGTTTTGCAATTGCGCTTGATATTTTTCCAGTATTCATCAGTTTGTTGAACTGTTGTGCTTCAGTTTCAGTTTTTCTTCTACTTCCTTTCAACAAGCGCATTTGCAGTGCCTTTTCTTGGTTATATAGTCCATCCAGGTGTCCGTCTTGCCATTGCTTAGGTCGCCTTGCTAGTGTTTTGGATAAAGATCCGTAAATTTCGGACTTTGTTTTGCACAGTATTAAGTGTGGAAAAATCATTGCTGCGTGCATTGCGAAGGTATTTTCGTTGTTTTCTATTAGACTGTTCAAAGTTCTATTGAGGGTTTCGATAAATTTATAAACAACTTTATTATTTGACAAGATCATAAAGACCGGTTTCCAGTGGAACACTTCGGTGTATATTTTCCTGGTGGTTTCTATGAGTTCTGGACCGGGGTTTGACCATGGGTCTTGTATTGTTCTGGGTTCTATAGTGGAAGTTTTGTGAGTGTGGGGCAGTGGAAGGGTGAGGGTGCATTTGAGGGAGCGTGGTTGTAGCTAGGGTTGGGGGATTGCATTCGTTGCTTGTGGACATTGCTTGTCGTTAGCTGAATGAAATTGGGAGGTGCAGCTATGACAACTGAAATCGTCATAGTGATCTTTGCTGCGGGCTAGGCCGCTGGATTTTACTGCATGTAGCCTGGGCATGTGAAGCACCAAACACCTCCGCCTCGCAGGCTGCTTTTACAAAAAAGGCAGTGTGTTTAAGTAGCCATTTTAGGAAGGACGGCTGTGTCAAGTTAGCGAGAGAATTTCTAGATTAAATCTGCAAGAAAATTTGTAAAGAAATCATTACCGTAGAACGAGAAATGGATGCCATCACGACAGAACATTTGAGGGTTAGATTTAGGTTGAGGTTAGGCAAAACAAAAAGTGTATGGGGGTGTACAAGTCTATTTATCAAATTAAACAGCACATGATTATGAATATAAATTTTGCGGTTTATTTCGGAACTATTACAGTTCTGAATTGTTTTGGGGATGATCAGTGTCTTGGGCTGAAACCTGTTGGTGACGAGGTTAATCAGGTTTTTCCACTGCTGTTCTAATTCTTGTGGATGCAGCCTGTTGTCATTGTATCCAGCAACTATTGTTACTGTATATAGGCGCTTTGGTCTGTATTGTAAAACTGTTTCAAACAGATCATGAAGCGTTGCGCCGCGGTAGGAGTGAATTGTTGATTTTACTAGAGCTGGTTTGATATATTTGGTCCTTGAAGTCCCAATAACTACTTTCTGTGAGAACTCAGGGATGCGTCTTGCCTGGAATCGCGGCATCAACCTGAAACACAGACAACTGGGGCGAGAAAGGAAGCTCTTTGGAGTAATTTATGAATACTTTCACTTAGGGTTTAAAATTGCTGAGGCAAAACAAGGAAAAAGAGAAAAGAGTGGTACAACTTGACGTCGATTTGGAGGTCAATTCATCAGCTCACTCCTTCTTGCGTCTAGTTTCGCCAGAAAAACTTCACTCGCCTACGGCTGGGACGGCGAGATTTGGTAAGATAACCAGAAGAGGAAAGCCCAGCGCGCATATGATATGAAAACACACAAGCGGTAAATTTGAACAAAGAAATCTATTTAATACGTTTATCACAAGAATTAGGCTATTTTCTTTTGTTGTAAAAAAAAGTTTGAAAAATATTTTTTATTTTTGTTGCTAATTTCAAAGTTTGAAAAATGGCATTGCAAATAAGAGAAAACTGTATAAAACTAAAATTTCAGGCTCGATTAGATGTATGGTGAAAAAGCATGATGAACTTCGAAACTTGCAACCAATAAATTGCATGAGAGAAAAAAATTATTGGACACTCTTATCAAAACGATTCATAAGGCATTGACTTCAGCAAGCAATATAAACGCTAAGAAGTGCTGGAAATCAGCATGTGTCGAAAGAAATATTGTATGGATGAATATATAGATAGAAGCAGCTACTTCTAGGAAAACTGTCAACATGTATAGCACCTCAGAGTTGAAATAACTAGCCCACTTGCAAATAACATTGTCATAACTTTGAATTCTAGTCAGAAAAAAAAGTTTGAGTTTGATTTTATTTGAAAGCTGTTTTTCGAATAATTTTTGAAAAAATCAAGAAAAACAGAAAAAAAATCATAACTTGCTTCTCATCATAAGGTTGCTAACATCAATTTTTGAAAAAGAAACCTTGAAACGAACAAAATTGGCATTGGAAACAAGAGAAAAACCCCTGGAGCTGAACACTCACGCTCGAGATGTATGTTGACACTGAGACTTGTAAGAAACTGAGACCTGGTGAGACCTGTAAAAAAATTTTGAATCTACTTCTTTTCTGCAATTTTTTGAGAAAAAAAAATTTAAATCGTCATATCACAGCAACTCAAAAAAACATGAGAATCAATATGTGAGGTCAAGCTGGAAACCACTGTCGAACTATGGCAGCATCTTACCCTAAGGTTGCTAGCAACAATTTTTGAAAAAGAATCCTTGAAACAAACAAAATTGGCATTGCAAACATTGGAAAACTCCCTAGAGCTAAGAACTCGCGCTCGAAAAGCTTCATGGTGAAAATGATGTTTAACTCAAAGAATTGCAATCAAAAAATCGCATGAACTAAAACTTCAATTGAAAACTCGCGTTGGTGTTTTTTCAAAAAATAATGATTTCATCGAGCGTTTTAAGCGTTTTCAGTTATTGAAATTTCAACGTTTTCAGTTAAATTTTGTAGGGAAGGAAAGGCAGCCAGAGAGAAGCCTTAACTGATTCGAGGAAAAACAAACAAGTGAAGCGAGCTTCTGAAAACTCAATAGGTATTTCACAATTGAATTAAATAGCCCA